TCTACTCCCAACTGACATACACATCGCAGTAATTACAGAAAGATGGACAACTTATCTTCCGGTCAGGTAGTGAAGCACCGACTTATCACCACAGACTCATTTTCTAGATTTCAGTGCAGGCAAACGATGGATCTCAGAGGCTGTTTTTTCTTAACTCGAGTCCAGACAGACGGGCCCTACCCTTGACACTGACAAGCAGCTGCAGTTTCACTACATCGCAGAGACAGATGACTCAGAGAGACTCTTCAAACACAAAGACTGGCTCTGTGTGCGCGACAGTGAATAATCAGACAGCCTCTCAGTAGTGTGGCTGATCCAAAGTCTGACAATGACTTGAGCTGCTTTTCTCAATGTGCCGGATTCACACAGTCTGCGTAATCACAAGGACCCTACAGGCAGACTTAAAAGTCAGCATGTGTATGCTACAGTATTTTTGACGTGTTCATGCTGTTGGCAAACCGATATACTCAATCACAGTGAGAAGTCTTTCTTTATATGCTAACAATGGGCAATTTCAGCTTGTTGCTAGGTGGTTGCTAGGGATGTATAATTTTATAGACATGAATTGAAAATCATACAACATTTTTAATAGCTGTTATTTGTGCATTAAAAGGCATACACCAGTCTATTATGACTCTTCATAACATCTGATATAGATTAGAGCTTTCAGGGGGCTGAGGTGTACCTGCACGCCAACACAGGTGATTTAGTTGTTCGAGACTTGATGAAAAAAAACAAACAAACATCTAGTAAGTTTGTGTATTACAGTAAACCTGCTTCAAAGGTATTTTTGTGTAGACCTGTAACATAATACTTATATGTACTGTATAAATTTTATTTCAAATTATGTAACTCTAACAGCTAAAGCAAGAAAAATACATTCCCACCTTTCGAATCCACTGACTTTTTAATGCATAATAAATGTAATATATTTACTGAATTAATGTGAATTATGTTGTGCTGTAAAAACTTTTCAAGTTACAAATTCTCAAAGTTCAAAAAGTAGGTCAAAATTTTGCAATTTAAAATTTGCCACATTTCTTTCCGGCATTTTTGATTCCTCATAACTTTATAAGTGCAAGAAGGAGCCACAAGAAACTTCCAGGCAGAAACAAATTTGACATTACCTGTAAAAATTTATTCAAGTTACATATTTTAACATTTTCTTAGCTGAATTATCAGGGGAAAAAGCTCAAACATGGAGTGTCTGTTATGCTGCCGTTATGTTAAATTGGTCATGCAGTTTTACTATTGGTCCTATGATATATCAAAAACAAAAACATTATTCTGAAAATAAAACAAACTTTTGGATTTATGTCTTTAGGTTTTGGCCCCTGGAGAGAGTGTGTGTGTGTGTGTGTGTGTGTGTGTGTGTG